ACCTTTTTTTTTTTTTTTGCCCCACCCCCGCCGAAAGTTTTTTTTTTTTTTTTTTTTTTGGCAATATATTCTACTTTTGAATGAGACAAAAATAATGCAGTCTTACAAATGGCTTTAGTGATTATAAAACTGTTTTTCTATTATTTTAAGCACCAGACAGCTCAGCTTTAATATATGGTCGCACAGCACACCTAACGTTTTAAAGTCGAAAAAATTCGTTGAATCTTAAACACATTAGTGTCAGCTTAAAATATGTGCATTGTTAAAAATGCATTAACTAAAACAAACATTTGCAGAAGACTTTTTATGGACACATTGAAACATTTTCCCAACCTCATTATGGGCTACCGCTACCAACTCTTTGGCTTCCGTGTCCCTCCTATTTCCCTCCTATTTTAGACTTTATTTATTTATTTATTTTATAATAAGGTCATTCGTATCGTATTATTATTATTATTACTACTATTAATAAATAGTATGGGATAGTGATGGATGTCAAAGGACGGGAATCCTGAGAAAAGTTCTCGTGTATCTAATGCTGAACTTATTTAGTTTCCTAGCTTCCTTTACAAGCCCTCAGGGCCGTTTCCATCCACGAACACTAGGCTTCATCCACAGATTGCCAGAACGTGTTGAAATAAATAAATAAGTGGGTTACTTTTTTAAATATACAATTATTGAAGGTGAAATGACTCTACAGAGTTTATTACTAAATGTACAACTTGGTTGTACCACCCTATTGGTTAAAAGAACTCTTACGCTTTTGTGTGCTAGTTCAGTTTTCAGTGCAAAGCTTCCGATTCTCACAATAATGTTTAACAATGAACATATATGGAATTTTGAAAATTTTTATTGCATATAGCTAATTCCAAAGCACACCACTCAATGTTCTTAGTGCAGGAGTAGCTACGCGCTTGCATATCTGTTAGAATTGTGCAAAAAATGTTCTCTTAGTCTTGGCTTTGCTAGCCTTGATGGGTTTTCATATTGGTAGCCTATATAGATCCGAGCCTGCTATCATACAAGTGAGAGAACATTTCAAAACACTCAATGTGTCGTCGACAACTTGTAAAAGCGTATAAAATTAGTTGCGTTTGCCTTCCGAAACGTGTTAATTCAATTGTCTGATTCAGATCCAGTATTAAGGATTGTAATTCAGATTATCGCATTAAATATAATTTAATTCGGTCTTCAAAGGTAAAATGTAATAGCCGGGGAGGTTATGCCTCTTCCTAATTGTGTTACTGTGATAGCTGAGCCAGTTATATAGGTAGTAAGTTGTGAAGTCCACTGCATTTGCTTTGTAAATATTAGCCTACAGATGGACTTTACTCTAATGTGATTATTAATATGAATAACTGCCTCTCAAGTATAATAACCTGGTCTAATTGTAGCTTTTTACTGGAGGCCTTTGCAGATTATCCTGTTTTAACAGAGTCATAAAAACATTAATGTCAATGCAGTTGAATGCTACGCTTCTAGAACCTGCTTGTACTCTTGCTCTGCATTTATTTGCCGTAAAAACGAGAAGGAAGAACACATCTCGAGTTGCTTCTCTCTGCGTACTAAGACTGTTTTACAAATGCCTTGTTTTAAACTCACCATAACACGCGATGAGCCCTCCGTTGTGTCCGCTTTCCTGCTGGAGTTTGCTGCTGTCTGGGGGAGTTTTGCAGGAGGACCTCTGCATGAAGAGGTGGTATTTGTTAAAGGTGCCTTCCCCAGCAGTGGCATCCAATGACTGGCATTCCAGCTGGAACGGGCTCCCAGATTTTTCCCCGTACGCCTGACCTTTGTTGGTCAGGAAAGCGGGGCTGTATTTGGTGTCACTCGCCTGGAATGTCCTGAAAGGGTTCGCCTGGTGATCCCTACCTTGCGGTGCAGATGGGCTATAATATGAATCCATGGATGTCATTTCGCAGTATGAAACGCACGTCTCGGCGTTCATTCCTAAAAAAAAAAGTTTCGGCAGGAAAAGGACGTCCAAGCGTTTTTTTCCCCCTTTCTTTCTTTCCTTTTTGGAGAGCAAAGCGAACAGATACTCTCACACTCTCTCCCTCTTCCTCATGCAAACGAATACACACACACACACACACTCACTCACACGCATGCATCGACTTGTGCAGCAGCTGGCTTTGGTTATAAAATGATTCAGATGTTTTCCAGAAACGGATAGCTAACCAAAAGCTAAAAAGCCCCCTTAAGGTTAGAGGAGTAACGAAAAATGCGTCTTCTGAAGCTGCAGCCCAGATCTCCTCGGTATAGACCACTATACGCACGTCAAGACCTCTCCTCGTTATTATGTAGATGAAATGAATGGGTGAGGTCAGACCTTTGCTAAGAAGAAAAAATGTTTTGTTGGAAATATGTGGGGGGACTTAACACATGACATTAATGTCATTAGGATATGAAATATATAACTCATTGAATGTGAAGGGCAACACGGAGGGAGCAATTTAATGGTTGATTCGCAATGCTTTTTAACTCGAGACTTAATCTCGCCAACAAAGAAAAAAGCTAGAGCTCTGTACGAGCTTTTATGTTTGTTGGGTTTTTACTGTTAGACTCTGATGTTTTTCTTTTCTGTTCCAAATCATTTCTCACTTTAACTGACGTTATCTTTTTAGACAGGTTTGTGATCCTTCTGTTCCGATATCGCGTTTGACATCGATTTAATGATGTCGTTTAGTGCATTGAAATAATTCTAACGCCGAGTAAGACTATTAATCTTGATTAAATATGCACAAGATCATGTTCTTTCCATAGACTGCTTTAAAACCTATTAGAGATAGATTCAGGCCCGAGTAAAACTTGTCACTAATTTGTCATTTATTGTCAGGCAGTCCCTTGTTTTCTTACTGCAAACTATCATGTTTCGTGTTGGTATTTTGTCGGATCTTTTTATGTGGTGTTTAACAATCAGCATGACATCTTGTTGTATCCAAGAAAAAATGACGAATGTTTTAGCTTTCACGTTTTTCTCATTCTTTTTCTTTAATAATGCTTGCTGAAACAACGTCTTGCCCATTATGACGTGTTCATAATGTATTTGGTCTTTATGACGTTGATGAACAAGTTTGGGCATCAAAAGTTTGTCATGTAAAACACATCCACTTTTTACTTTTTATCATTTGCAAATTAAACATTTAGTAAGTTTGTGCTTACATTACTTTTTTTACTGACTTCATAAGTTCATGTCACTTCATAAAAATGTCCTGTCATTTTTGTTAAGTGTATTGCTTTTTTTTTCTGTTTAGAAATCTGTCAGTCGGGGGTACATTAAAAAAAAAATAGTGATGATACTAAATTTCCGATAACAACACTAATAGTTTACTAATGTAAACTAATGTGACCTTTGCAGGTTCTTAATTTTATCTTAATTTAGAGGTTTTTAAGAAAAATTTATCCGAATCCACAGTAGAGAGAGGATGGGTTTCGAGGTCTATTCATGGTCAGGATCTTTTTGGTGAGTGAGATGTCTATTAATTTGTGTGCAACCAAATATATATATATATATATATATATA